TAATTTGTCTAATGCGAGAGAATTTTTATCTCCCTTTGAATTCTCTCTATTGGTGAATATTCTGGAAGAGTGGAAAAGTAGTCCTCTTTTATGCATATACTGTAAAAAATGGCAAGAGTTTGTTAGAGTTTGTTAGAATTTTCAGGTACACCCGCGTTAGATGTATTTACTGTTTAGTTATCTGGAAATATTACTGTCAAACACGGTATTTATTACACGAGAGTTGAAAATGTTCTTTTGTTATGTTGAAGAATTGCAATCATTCTATACTTTTAAATTCTGTTACCTTTTTTAAGACGTTTTTTTGCGTAAGGTTAGTTAAAATTCTATCAAATTTGAGGTCAGGATTTTTAGTCTATCGATTTTTACCCTATTTAATTGGTGTATTTAATTAGTTTTAAAATGAAAGAAATGAGCTCGGTTGCAAGAAAATTATATTTTATTTATATGGGTGAGATATTTAAGCTCAGAAATTAATTTATACGCTGGAAAGATGTCAGTAGTAAAGTATATCTAATAAGAAAAAAATAGTTCAAGAAGGAAAAAGAAGTGCTAGATTACAATAGTTTTTCACTAATATTCAGTCTATTGTTAAAAATAATTTAACCTCCTTTGGACGACCTTTTCCCCTTCTTATCGGAAGTGGTTGTGGAACTGAATGTACATTTTCTACAATATACCTTTCCATTTTTCATTGTCCAGTCTTTACTTTAATTCGTGTAAATCGATGGGCTTTTTATGATCAAATAACTGTATAAATCTGCATGTATGTCCCAGCAGTACATTTTCAATGTTTCATAATGTCTCGTCGAGCTTGGCACGAATATTTCTACTTCTGAAAGTGATATCAAATCTTTACTAAAGAAAATAAAGTTTCTACTTATCGTACCGAGCATTTTCAAGACGGTAAAATTATTACATATCGTTCTACGGAATACAGGAAATATCTTCTTTGCCGTTTTCAATTAAAATCAAAAGAACCCAATAATAAATGTACAGTATTTAAACCTGAATCTCATAATCATCATCAACGTAATGATACAGCTCGTCTCAAATCTACTATAGTTCCACAGCCACTCGGCTGGAGAAAGAAAGATGAGAATGGGAAAACTCGTCCAAAGAAAGTTAAATTAGCTTTTGTAAACTCCTTCGGTATCTCCAAAGGAGGAGTTGAAGTTTTTATACTCAAAAATCCCCTCCTGTTTATGAATCCCTCATCTACCGAGTGTATTCATCCTACAATGGTGGATGTATTCATCTTAAATCACTATTTCCAAAACCATCTTTCGGGGCTAATGTAAAGGAGTTTCACCATTTTAGCCCCATAAAGGGCTGCCTTAACAAGATTTAACAAAAGACTGAATAGTAGTGAAAAACTATTGTAATCTAGCACTTTTATTCCCTTCTTAAACTAAGAACAGAAAAAAGAGTACTAGAAGAAAATGTGTTTTTTTTTTATTAAATATACTTTGCTACTGACAAAACCATTAATTAATTTTCATAAATTAATTGCTGAGCTCTAATATCTCATTTATATCAATAAAATATAATTTTATTACAACAGAGCTCATTTCTCTCATTTTAAAGCTAATACAAAGCTGATACAAAGATTTTACGGTTGTTAGATCATTATCCTGAGCCTCATAAAACGCTTTCTGAAAACCTAGTTCCTGCAATTTTTTGAACAAACACTGATTAAAATGAAAATTACATCCTTTTATAATTGAACTGGAAAATACAAGTTTCAGTGCATTTATTGCTCCACGCTCGAAGTCTAATGTTATAAATTTTGGATTCAATAAAAGATTATTTCTAACTGTTACATTTCTAACCTCGTTGAATAAGGATACGTACGTGCTTTTGTTTTTATCTGGTAATAGTGTATAAAGTGCTGGAATTGTACCTTTCAAAATCGGCGATAATGCGTGAATGGAATATACCTGGGCAAATGGTGATGGACAAGATTTGAATGTACCATCCATAAATATATGTTCAGAATCACATAATAATTTTAATGAATCGGTCGTTCCAAAACATAAATAACGAGGACTACTATTATCGATTACTAAAAAATCTTCATTGTTAAGTGTTAATCGCCATGAACCTACAATTTAAACATTAATTTAGTCAAAGTTTCTAAGATCATCAGCTGTCTTACCCTCGAGTTTTACATCGTCAATGAAATTCGGTAATGGTGGATATTTTTCATTTCTTGTCCGATATAAAGAATTCTTAATTGTATCGAATTGTGGTAATGTAGACATATTACCTGGACTAGTTCCGAACGAAACAATTTCCTGACCGATAGCGGTTCTTCCCGGATACGTCGTTTCGAACTAGTGCGAAATTCCTCTCGCTCATTTCGCTCTACATTCAGTTCATGGTTATGCGATGTTGAAACAACTGGGGCTTCGAATCCTCTTTGAACAGCACGACCATTGCAGGTTGAACGATTTTCACAACGCCAGTACGTGTTTTCATTTCGCACTCGGTCTTTTAAGTACCGATATCCTAAAAATAACAAACAAGTCTTACCTCTCTCTGTTTCGACAATTCTACGTTATTTTTAAAAAGTTGAGTAAGTTACGAAAAATACTCAATAATTTTCTGTCGTAATCAGATTCAGAAAACTAAGCGTATTTATACATCTCGCACTGTTTTAAAAATGCATCGTTTTATAAATATCATTAATTATAAAGCTGGTTGATTAATTTCTACTCTTAATTAGAAATAAATACTTACAACTAGGAATTATGTTTTATTGCATATATATGAATTTGTCGACGAGTCGGGAATTTCAATTATTTTTTATTAATTTGTCGACGAATCGGGACTGAATCAATTAAACACACCAAGCTCAAATATCTCTTTTTTCCGAACTCATTTATTATTTTATCCTTTTTCTTTTACACATTTATATATGTGATAAAGAAACAGCCTCGTGTTCATTATGACAAAAAGAAAAACAAAAAAGAAAAAAATCAAAAAGTTAAATAATAAAATTTCTTTCTAGTAAGTAACGAAAATTCGACGCAGTATTGTTCGTCAAATTTCCTTTCTCGTAATGGAGAATAAGACAGGAATGTTCACTACAGTTTTCGACAATAAAGTAAAAATACAGCTTTCAAGTAACAGAAACAAGAATAAAGATTTTCTCAATTGGTTACTTTGAGTATAATATCGCTAAGACTTTATTCGATATTTATTACTTGTATCAACTGTAATCGATGCTGAACATTTATTTGTTATACATTTGAACAGAATACTTGAATCTTTATTAACATGTATTTTTCTAAACCGATAGTTGTTATAAACTGTACAAAATTTCCCTTGCTGCGTTGTAGATATGATAACTTTTGGAGAAATCATTATGATAATATTGACGTGATATGATTGAGACGTTGTCCTTCAACGTAGTCTTAAGCTCCGTTTTTATACTGTCTCTTTTGGAATACTAAGATTTGTTGTCTCAATTTAAACGTCAGACTTTATTATCCCTTTTAAAACTGCATTTTATTATCTCTTTTGGGTACGCTCAGTTTATTGTCTCATATGGGGGTGAGCCGTCAAGAGCAATTCAAATACATGTACAGTTGACAAATTTTATTCAGAAAAAGGTAGAAGTTTAATGTGCATCCAAAGGTGCTTATTGTATAACTAAAATTATCAAAATCACAAAAGCGAATGTTTGTTAAATCAATATTTCTCATTTTTATTTATTATAATCTGAATTCTTATCCGGTGCCGATAATAGTTCAGATTATAATAAACAATTGTTATATTACCTAGTTCACTTATTTTATTTTTACTCATCATGTGTAAAAATAAAAAAGAAATATAAGAACCATTTTACGTGCACTATTTACTCATTTTCTTTTCGTTTCTCTTTCCTGCATAGTTATATGTACACAGAAAATAAACAAACAGATCTTCAAACTGTGGCGTTCTGTGTTGATGAAATATGTCATATATACTATGTATTAGAATTTTAAGTCTTCTAGCTATTATTATGGCTCTACGGAGTCTACAATTGTTTTACGATACATTTATTTTTTCATTCAGCCAATATCTTAATTATCATCATTGTATGAAAGTGATCAATCTTTTTGTGAATCTAATACAGATTGAAATGAACGAAAAAGGGTTTATAATATGCAAAATATACGTAATTTACTAAAGACGAAACATTCTGTGTTTTTTCTAACAAATTGGGAATCTAATTTTCACTGTACATTTGAACATCGATTAGGAAACACTGGAGATAGCGACAAATCAGTATGATTTTAAAATAAATGAAAAATAAGCATAAATTCTTTATTTTCTCCGTTTAGGCCTGCGATCCATATCGTTTAGAGAAAAAAAATCGTGTTTAGTTTATAGTGCAGATAGTAACGGTGACTTTTCGTTTGAACAAGATTTGAAATAATGGGTACCTAATTGTAAAATTTATACATTTGATCGTGATATATATAAGTGTCAAATGAATATTTGTACTTATCAACGAGCTTTAATTGGAAACTGATTTAAGAATAGTACAAAAACAATTGAGATGTTAATGAAAGAGTTAAATCATCATGAACATGAACTAGATATTTTAAAAATGGATATTGAAGGAAGTGAATATTTTCTTTTTACGCAAATGTTTAACCCTTTACCCCCCATAGCGGTTCCAGAAGAGCCACTGACAAAATAACTTTATTAATGAAGTACTAGCCCCCTAGTATGCCAATGGTGCGGTCTGATCCACCGAATGTCCTGGCCCTAGAGTA